TGTAATACAATGATTATCCCTAATTTCACTTATATATGTATACCAAATATTGATCCGTCATTTTCTATCAAAAGTCAAAGATGGGTACCGAGGTCGTAATATTCGGTACCTAGGGACTGGAAGAGTTTTTATTTTATATTTCTGATCAAAAGGTGGCACACACTAAAGACATAATTCGTCTWAAGTTTTATCCTATTATATTAATTGCTTCTTGATTTGGGTAAGTAGGCGTGATTATTTTCCGGATTTCGTCCATTCTAAATATGTCATACTAATTTAAGAAGAATGCCACGTACTAAATTTTCTTTAAATCGGTTAATCGGGCCCCGAGATATGAGATTTCAAAAAAAAGTATTCATCTTTAAACTTTCACACAAGCTCCCGTAGAGCTCTAAACTTTAATGTCTCTGGCGTATTCAATTTTTTTATCAAGTGCGCCTTCCCGCTGCGATCCCCTGTGCCAAATATTTTTATATTTATCTTAATTAGGTGCTTAGTTACGGCACTTTTTAAATTTCCGGTTAATGGCAATTTGTGGACATGATCCCATCTACGAACTCGAACTTATTTTGAATCTGCATGCCAACTTTAATCAAGAAATCTCCATTGTTACTCAGGCTACATCTCCATATCTATTAATCTCTATATCTATCCCGGTTCGTTTTAGGTGATAAGTACAACCATTAGGGAATAAAACTACAATACGCTGTAGYAAGTTGGTTGCAAGAGTATAAAAAAGATGCAAAAAATAACGTTAATAACCCAAGTTTTATAACTACGTTAGAAAAATTTAAAGACATGATTACAAATCCTCCAATTTTAAGATATCCAGTTTTTAGCAAAAGACTYAAAGTAATAACTGATGCTATTAACTTTGCCATACGCTTTGAGAACATTAAACACTCACGAAAAAAACGACTCAACTAAATTGTGTAAAATTGTGATAAGGATAAAAGGTTAGTWCAATTGAGGGCTATAACATAAAAATTTATTATATAACTGGAAAAGAAAAAACAATATCCGATTTCCTGAAACTCTAATATTGACACTAATTTTTACAATGACAATAATGACCACAGAAGCCATAATGAGGGTTAACCTTATGACAGAGAAACTTTAACTTTTAACCATACATCTTAGCGTAGTAGAAAAATAAAAAGTAGTAAAAAAACCACAACTACCACATAATTATTAATGCAAAAGTCAAAAGCTATTACTTCAACGAAATATAATAGAAGTAAAAGTGAATTTGACTTCAATAGGCATCTGTAACAACGATAACTTAATTATTTCTATYCAAAAACATCAAAAAGCTATATTATTACAGAATTAAACTTAATAACTTGAGTACGAAAATTAAATAGAAGTTATAAGCCGAAGTAACTCATAGTTAACATATCTAAATACTAAGCACTATACTTTTRAGGAAAAGCTTTAACTTCTAACAATAAAAAATAATACAATAGTAGCCATAGAATTAACTCTCTACTGGATAAAGTAGTTATAAAGTAAACATTACCCTAAATTGTAATAATTTTATACTCTTTGTAAAACAAAATTTTCGATTTAGTACTGAATKAATTAAGTACCAACACGAATAAGTAATGAGATCTAGGAGAATATCAAATCAAAAGGTGGAGGAGTTACGTTCCGAATAYACTCTAAAACTATTGTAATTACATATATTATTGTGATCTAATTGAAAGGTGAAATTTTAATTTATACTTCGCATGTCTTCGAATAGGTAAATTTTTTTATATAAGTTGGTATTACTGCTAGTGACATCTTTGCTAAATTATATCAAAATATTCATTAGTATTTGAGTGCGATAATGCACCATCTCATTGGTTATTCGTGATCAATTAATATCATGCCGTAACCACCGCATTCGCCTGATTTACTTTTGTGTAACTTCTGGCTATTCAGCAAATTTACATGACCACTTCGAGGACACGGTTTTAACTCAATTGAGGATATAAAAGCTGAATCGAAGAAGGCTCACGACGGAGGATTTTTCGAAGTGCTATGATGATTGGAAAATTCAAAGCCARGAAAAGTCCAAGCTTTTTATTTCCACACAACAGTTTCAACGCCAGTTTTTAAAGTAATCAAAACACCGATACTTTGCGATATTATGTACCAAATAACGGTTTGTACCTATATTTTGAGATTAGTTATAGAACTTTGTAATATACCCTTCTTAATTTTTGCTTCACTGACTCTTGAAAATTTTTGTTTCAGACACTAGAACCCTCTTTCATTTCTGTCCATGCCCTTGACAAAATTCTTCATTAAACACAATTTAAAATGCAAAGGTGGTAGTAATATCTTTTTGTGATTAACTAGAGTGAGTGCCTGATGTACTGGCCACTGTTACTGTACATAATGACAGTCTCCCGCACGAGTGTCCCATTCGCAACGAAAGGAAAAATATTTGGTATATCCTAGTTGAATTCCAAGAGGAAGGGCTATTACTTTTAGGTCTTCACATATTGACCAACCATATTCACGATAACGGATGTGCTCTAAAAGAACTCACAAACTCTCATATGATTTCTTCATATGAACTGCTTGCGATGGATATGAACTGCTTGCGATGGCGTGATTAGACGCCACGTAGATCATGTTTTTGTCCTAATGCGTTAAACAAATGGTTAACTTCTGAACAGCATAATAGATCCCCTTCTTGAAATAAACAATTTCTGCCTTTTTTGTAAAAAGAAATATTTCCAACACTTTGGAAAAGGTTCCAACCTTTCAGTGTGAATGCTAAAATCTAATCGCGAACTAAGATTAAGTTCGCCCTGTGAAATAAGATACGGCMCTGTTGAACATCCTGGTAAATCAAATAAAGAATGTGCTTCTGTAACATTACTTGAAAGGCAAGTCGATTATAGTTCTCCATCGAGACTCCAAAATTTTGGTGCTTTTGGAATAGGAAGCTGTTCACTGTGTTTAGACAGGTCCTAAAGCTGATGATAAATTACAGTACTTATCCGTATGTGTAGACTTCGGCCCAATACCTTTAATATTCGTGGAGGAAAAAATAGCAGTATGTAACATGGTCTTTAGATTGACATTGCGAAGGGCATTTCACGATTTGAACCTTTTAACCAAGCAGTTAACAGTGTTACACAAGTTTTACAACAGATATGAGGGTCCCATGCTTTGTCTTGGTCCCCAACTTTAACACAAATAAATACACATAAAAAAACTGTTGGCACTATTTACGTACTGCCTAGGCATTGTGCCTAAAAAATGTGAACTCAAAATCGTTTTGCTATCCAAACATAGAACACGGAACCGATTCGGACACCGTTAGTTTATTGATAAATTTTATAAAATAAAACTATCGTAAAATACGCTGTTTACTTCAGGCAACCCGTCAGAACCGGTCTAAACCGGATAAATCCCTGATGGTATGAAAATATGAGATGATGCAATATATTGAAATTTTATGTACTGTAGAATCTAAAGCAGCACTTTACAGAATATCAGTGAATGATACAAAATTTCTGTTTTCAGATTTGAGTTCAGAGTATCAAATAGCATAATAGCACCTAAGAATTTTCATGTCACAAATTATGTGTCTACCAGTGTTACTTTCACCCATTTTTGAACTTCCCCGATTTTAATTTAATTTAAACAGTTGCCTAGTTTTTATTTTTAATTGTTTATTTTTAGCCTAAATGCGCTGTAACGCTTTCACTTTTAGGTATAGTATTGCCATTTAAAACAAGGAAGGGCTTCGTCTTAATGTAAATAAATAAAGCATGCATAGATTTATTCAAGTTTGCTTTCATTTTCCAGCAATCTAACTAAGTCTGTATCTTGTTCAGTTCTTCTTGCACCTAATTAGTTGATTAAATTCGAATCTGGCTTGACGACAATCAGCATAAGTAGCAATTAATACATTTTCAGTTTCAGGCATATCAGAGGTAAAGTTGCTGTTAAGTAAAGGAGACCAAGCACGCTACCCGTGGCACTCCATCGTTCATGTATCTTATATCAGACGTTTCGTCATTTATTTTTACTTACGTAAAATGACCCATCAGTCAAATAGGGCTTAAGAATTAGATATACTTGAGATTAGCATATATTTTTTAATTTATATAGTAGACCATGGTGAAAAACTTTATCGAATTTGGACTTGTTGAATGTCCAAAAATGGTGCTGAACAGTGTTACTTAAGTGCTAAAGAGTCAGCAATGTAATTAACTACACGGTGGCATCGTTTGGGTGCACTGTCATCACGGCGAAACCCAATTTGATGTTATGGTATCACCTTATTCTTAGAAAAGTTAGTTCATTCGCTTGAGCTACTTCAATATTGTTTATTTCAACTGTCCGACATTTCTGGTCTTAGCGAGAATGTATGTAATATGATTGAACTTTTGCTCATTTATGTTTATACGCCAGTTGGCTAGCCATTCTTCGATAAGAGTAAGTGCTCTAATACTCTTGATGCTCTGATGGGGCATACCTTACGGCTTACTAGAGCTATGAAAGTGGATGTCAATATGCTAGTAGTTGTTGGAATGTCTGCTGTATATATTATGAAAAGAGTTGGACTTAGCACGCTACCTGAGATACACCAGCCCTTACTTCCTGTTTCTTAAATATGATTATAAAGTTTTATGCAAGCAAAACGTTTTTGATTCTCCGTAAAAGGTCTTCATGCTAGACCTCCATCTAGAAAAATAAGTGAACAGTACTCTCTGTATGATTTCCTTATTTCGTTGGTTATTCTATTTACTTGCTCTACTGTGCCATGTTTAGTACGAAAGCCGAATTGGTGCTTTGGTATTATTTATTTATTTATTTAAGTATACATACGCTAGACGGCATTATACAACTAAATAATTTAAAAGTATATAATATTTTTTATGTAATTAAAAGCTAATGATTAATGGTATTTAATACTAGTATAAATAAAACTATAAATTGAACAAAAATTGTAAGAATAGCAAATTTGGAAGGAGAAAGTGGAAAAGGTGAGACTAGGGATATTGCAGTAGACGTGATTTGATATCCGGGATGAAGGCACTGAGTGATCCGCTATAGAAGTCCACATCACTATGTAATGAGTTRACGAGCCTGGCCAGACGGTTGTGTGGACCATTGAAAATGTAGCTCTTGGTAGTTTTCATAGTCTTCAAGAGACGGTTACGTCTCAGTGAGAGACGCACTGATGCAAATTCGAAACTGCTGATGATGTCTGGCGCATCGATAAGGCCGTTCACGACTTTGAAGAAAAATATCATGTCAGGTACTTGATGACGTTCTTGCAGGCTGTTGATGTTATAGTGTTTATAAATATCATACACTGTGTTGTAACCGCCAGGAATCCCATATTGATAGCCAATACATTTACTTAGCTTTGTTTGTATTTTTTCAATACGACTAGAGGCTTCATCGGTATAAGGCGACCAAATTACAGTGCCATATTCTAAAATTGGCAGAACCATTGATGAATAAAGGCGTAACAGTGAGATGGGATTCATGAAATCCTTACTAGTTCTAGTAATGAATCCCAGAGCTTTAAAATCCTGGAGAGTGATCTTCTCAATATGCTTGTTAAATGTCAGTTGATTGTCTATGATGATATCCAGGTCATTTACATGATCCACTTCACTTAACAACTCATCATTTAGATAATAATTAGCTGGTATTCTGATATGTGACSGTGAGTAGGATACAGTAACACATTTTGTGACGTTCGAGTCCAATTTGTTTAATCGGTACCACAACGAAAGCTTGTCTATGTCATTCTGAAGAACTCGAAGGTCTTGCCCACTGGTTATCATTCTGAAGATCGTCTCATACAAATCGTCTGCATACAGCAAAAATTCTGATTGAAAGTTATCGCCAATATCGTTTACGAAGATATTAAAGAAAATAGGCCCCAGATGTGACCCCTGAGGTAACATTATGCTTAGCAGACAGGTATCCGTCCACTTTGGCTTGGAAATGTCTTCCTGTAAGATATGATTGAATCCAACACAATGCATTACCGCATATACCGTATCTTCTAAGTTTGTTTCGCAGAATAGTATGATCCACCCTGTCAAAAKCCTTGCTGMAATCGGTGTAAATGGTGTGAGGTGAGTTGTCATTGTTTAGTGCATTTAGTAGATAATTTACGTATTATTATTATGTTATTATTTTATTGGGAAAAATATACAAAATATTAAACCTAATAGTAAGAAAGGAGTACAAGCTACTATGGCTATCAACTCTAGTGCTGGACAGATATTGAATGTATGTTCCATGGATAATGTGCYGGGGCAGAATGGGCAGGATGGTGTAGGATTGCCGCCAAGAAGATATTGGTGAGTGATTTGCGTGTGTCCGATCCTTAATAATTAATAATGAATGTTTAAAATTTTTGTAAATTGAAGACAGCGGAAGGGTAGATTTAAGTTGAAAATTCCTTTTGTGTTTAGCTGCAAGCGTTATACATTTCTGAATGCCACTGTTTGGAGAATTAAGTATTTTTGGAAGAAGTTGTATCGTTTTTTCGTAAASTCTTTCCTTTATTGACGGTAAGCCACTTTCTCCTAAGATACATTTAGTTGGTGATATAGTGTGATATGGAGCCTCCAACTGCTTAATGTTTGTGTTCGAGCGCCAACCGTAAATCGGACCATAGTCTATTTTAGAGAGTATTATGGCTCTTGAAAGTGAACCCCATTTTTTGAATTTCGTAAGTACTTTATTGAAAACATCATTAGTTGCTTGTGGATCTTTCAAATTAGTGTAAATAAAAGCATCATCGACATACATAGTTATATGAATATTTTTTATATTTAGGCAGATATCGATTAGTTTATCAATCGGAATAATGAATAGTACTACGGATAGGGGGAGCCTTGGGGTATACCATTGTTAAGAGGGTTTAGCTCGGAAAAAGTATTATTAACACGAATTCGTATCTGTCGGTGGATCAAAAATTGCTTTTATTATCATAAAACTTTTGGACCACCCTTCCACTCTGCAAGTTGGCTTAGTACTGCGTGAACGCCAGCGCGATCAAAGGCTTTCTCGAAGTCGGTAGCCAAGGTTATGGCGTGGTTTTTGTGGCTATCGAGTCGGATACAAAATGTTGTAGTTGCAAAAGTGAATCGGTTGTACTTTGCCTGCTTCTAAAGGCAGTTTGATTATGTTTGATACGATTATTTTTAGTAATGAACTAAATTAGTCGCTTCGCAATAATTAAAACTTGTGCTGAGGCAAGAAAGCAAAGAAATAGGTCTATAGGAAGAAATAAAGTTGGACGGCTTATTTGGTTTGATTATTGGAATGTCCGCGGCAGCTTTCCAAGCATGAGGATACTAGCCTTTCGCAAAGATATTGTTGTAGAGGGATAGTAATTTTTCTTTGCCAATTAGAGGTATATTTGATACCATCGGATAAGATATACGATCGATGCCAGGTGTATTGCCTTTGGCATGTACGAGTGCGGATTCCAAATCACAGTATGTTATCATATTGTCTAAGTGAAATGCCGGTAAGGAAAGGTTTATAGGAGCGTAGTGCATGGAAAGCCAACGATGTTTTTCCTGAATATATTCTTCAGAAAAGTTGCCGTCAACTGAATATTGAGACCAATGTTGTGCAAAAGCTGCTCCAATATCTATGGAGTCGCATAGAACTGTTCCCTCGGATTGAATAATTGCTATGTGGGGGTGTAGGGTACTAGTTAGAAGTTTGATGTCATGTCAAATTTTTTTGGAGGTCGATGAAGGAGAAATATGCGAGGTAAAATTTCAAAATTCTTTCTCTTGGCTGCCTTGGCTGATTGGATGCAAACTGGCATATATTTAACGACTAGACTTTGGGCCCTCCTTGTGAATCGGACAGATGTAGGATGATTTCCATTTAGTTGGGAAGACACCATTTTGTAGTGAGTAACTGAATAAGTGTATGATATGCTCGCTAAAGCTGTGTGCACAGTTTTTAAGAAACGTATTTGGTAAGCCGTCCGGACCAGCACTTTCTCCAAGCATTGTTTATTGAGAATTTTACATTCTCTCCTGAGTACGCTAAACTTTCTATAATTCTGTTTGCAATAGCACTTCTTGTGGGTAGTATGGGCTTCCTTCTTAAGTATCGTTTTGTGTTTTAATTCGCTTGAAAACCAGTACGGAAAGTTGTTATTGTGAACGGACAGGCACATTGGTAGAGGTACATATATCTCTTTGAATAATGTCATAGAAAACTACAACTTTGCTGTCTAGAGTAGTGGATGAATAATTAGATATTAGATAAAATGCATTAGGGTTTTTATAGTCATCACTTTTTAAATCATGGAAAGGTAAAGTTACTGGTTTGAGGCTGAGCTGGAGTTTAATCGWGATACCAAGGGTTGGATGGTATCGATCCATTGTGGTAATTGCCTGCGTGTGATCAACRTATATRTGATGATTACTGAAACAAAGATCAAGTAAATTATGATTATCGGCTTGAATGTTATTAAACTTGCGGCATTCTAACAGAGAGAAGCCTTCATAGAGTAAATTTTCACAGTCCATATGAGGCGAGCTACTTGGAAGGTTGAAATCCGCCGTGATGAGAAACTTGGTACCTTTGTGCTTTACTTTCAAGTACTGGATGGTATCGAGAAACGCTTGGTAAGCGACTAGTGATGCTCTCGGAGGAATGTAGAAACATCTAATTATGATATCAATATAAAGTATTCAATACTATCATTAATGACTGGAATACATTCAGCGTGTACAAACTTCTTTGTGCGATGAAAACACCCCCACCTCGTTCACTATCACTTGTGATATTGTTTCTATCTTTCCTCTAAATATTGAATGAGTCATCTATAACTTCGCCATTATGGATAGCTGGATGGAGCCATGACTCAATGATGTAGAAGGCATCAATACTGCTAATCGCTGATGTTGTAAGAAAACTGCCGAGCTTGGTACGTAGTCCCCTCACATTCTGATAATGGATGTGCAAGATTGGTTMAATTTTCCTTATCGTTGAATGAGCGAAAATTCTTATTGACTAATTTCGGGACGCCATTAACGTATTTTACTGTCTTAGATGAATCGCCACTCTTCACCAGAGAATCCAGCTGTGTGCGAAGGTTCTTGAGGTGCGTCAACTGAGCGGGAGTGAGATCTGATTTAAATATGACTTTGGATGATCCGTCAACAGGTTCCGGTGGTTTAGACTTTAATATAGCACGAGCAACAGGTGGGGAAGTTGCTTCAACAGCAGCGGGCGGTTACGGCCAACAGTTGGGTGACCCAGTCGTCGGAGTTTTAATTCATCCAAACTGACAGAAAATCGATTAGCAAGATTTACTGGACGGTAGCTCTGTCTTCATTAAGACGGTCTTTGCCGTCTGCTCTCCTTGACTCTTGAACATTCAACATAACGACGTTCGATTCCCGTTTTTTGCATTCGGAAAACTCTGCTATAATTTCTTCAGTTGGAGCTGATGCTCCAGTGAAAGTTTCGAGCTTGTTTTCTACTGAGTTTAGTCTGTTATAAAGACTAGAACATGTGTTGGCCCAGCCTTTGTGCTGCTTGGATAAACTTGTGATCTCCCTTCTGATGTCATTAACATTCTTTTCGATGGCTGTCTTGAAACCGTTGAATTTACTCTCAACAGATGTTGTGAGCTTTAAGCATGGTGATGTTACTATCGCCATCACTTTCAGAGTCAAGATCATCCTGAGTGACGATACTAACCTCCAAACGGCATGTTTCACATTTCCATTAATAACCTTGATGTTTTATTTTATTTGCTAGCTCGGTGAATTCCGCTTTATTAAGTTTCGCATATTTGGAATGAGTCCATGTACGGTATGAATGTTTTTTTTTAGGAGGCATTTTTAAGTCATATCATACGATACAAAAAAAATTTGGGTTTATTTTGATGAGCACTGCACTAATCAATAATTAAATACTAAAGAGCAATTTTTATTAATGTTATTCAATATCTAACTTTTGTTCAATTATTTTTGTTCACATAATAACAAAATTATGTGCTATATTTGCGAAGAGTTGCCAGAGAATGATGCTGATCGGCGACTTTTTCCACGAAATTGGATAGTATCCGAAACCTAGAATTGCATTAAAGAGTAAGGAGAGCACCGTTRTAGCAATATTTGATAACTCAATTAGCAATTTTGGAGTAATATTATCATGTCCCGATGCCTTTTTCGGATTTAGCTCTTTTATGATTCTAGTAATTTCAGAAGTAAAAGTCCTAAGCGGCATAAGCCAGGTGATTATGCTTATTTATAATAGTGTAGTACAGCTGTCCTCTTTATCTTAATAAGCCGTGAGCCCCAGTACATGTGTTTTGCGTTGTAATCTACACCTGCTAGAAATAATAATAATAGGTTTGAGCACCATCATGATTTCAGCGCACTTCCACTGAGTAGAGGATTGGTTGAGCCTTAATATTGAACCATAGATAAGTTTATAAAACGTTGCTTCGAGGTATTTATCTCTTTTGTGGCTTTATTTAGAGTATTTTTGTCAATTGGATTTCTACTGGTTTTTTTGCAAGCAGATACATTAATTACTTTATGCGATGAGAATTTATTCCTTTTTTGGAGAGTAGCAGCAACAGCTGTTTCATGAATTAGGTTTGTAAAACCTTCTACTGCTTCAGGCAATTCAACTGGAGTTTTAATAGAAGTGTTAAGTATTACATTTTGCGATATCCAATCTTGAAAAATACCAATTTCACTTTTATTGTTATATATGCGAGTGATCAGAGCTTAGTTTTTCAGAGCTAAGGGCATCTAACTGCTGAGTTGGAATACCTTTATATGGTATACAGAGAAATCTAAAAGGTCAGGAATTTTCAATTGATCACTCGGTCAGTAGATAGACTCTCCGCTGGACAGAATTCGTAAATTATTCCTTATAATTCATTTATAAAGCTCTCCACTCT